ACTGTTTTGCAGGATGACCAGTCCTGGCTAAGGCACTAACTTCTACCCTGCCCTGGGTTGGACTAAATGAGCTCTTGCTGAGCATGGTGATCCTCACCTGTAGTCCCAGCTACTCGGGAGGCCAAGGCAGGAGGATCACTTGAGCCCAGGAGTTTGAGAACAGCCTGGGCAACAGAGCAAGACCCCTCTCTACAAAACATTTAAAAATTAGCCCAGCATGGTGGCATTAACCTGTAATCCCAATTACTCAGGAGGCCGAAGAAGGTGGGGAGGATCACTTCAGCCCAGGAGTTCAAGGTTGCAGTGAACAATGACTGCACCATTGCACTTCATCCTGGGCGACAGAGCAAGACTCTGTCTCTAAAAACAAGTAAATAAGCTCTTGGACAAAAAGCTCCCAGCAGCACAGTTCCTGACACAGTTGATGCTTACTAGGTGGGATCTTGACAAACACTCTTTCCACAAGCTGGTGAGAGGGAGTGGGTCGCAGGAGGGGGCTGTTGGGGCTCTGGTGAGCAACGCCGGAGATCCTCACCTCTCTGCTGGCTTGCCTGACACCAGCACCTTCTGCGAGGACATGATGATTGAAGGGGGCACAGATTCCCGGCGGCCATCGCGAGTGCAATAGTAATTGTTGGAGAGCTTGTGGTTGGGACCCACAGGGAGCTTGGGAGGAGGCTGAGTTCTGAGGGGAAAAAAGGTGAGCATTAAAGCAGAGACAGTCATTGTCACAGCCCCACTGTTGGCTCCTGTCACCTCAGGGGCCCACAGCCAGTCCTGGGATAGGTCACAGGCTGGGGATGTCCCTTGGTACACTGGCAGGGACATATGCCTGGGGAGGGGTCCTGGGACCAGAAGCAGATGGCAGCCCCAGGTACCCCACCTGTCACGAATAAGCAAGAGGGTACAATGGACCTTTTGTGAGGCTCTCAAGGCCCGGGACATGTTCCCATGCCCTCTACCCCATGGCTGAGCTCGGCAGCCAGCCTCACCTGATTTAGCCCACTCTAAGTGGCTTTTTCCCCTAAGTCCAGGCTATGGCGCCGTGCATTTCCTGTTATCTCAGGAAGTCTTTGGAGAACCCTGCTGGGATTAAGGCCCATTACTCAAAGAACACCTTGACCTTGGAGCCTGTCCAGATCTCTACATTTCCTGTCACTGCGTGGCCAAGCAACAACTCTTTGGAGCCCAGAGAGGGGTGAACAGAGTTTGGTCTTGGCTTGAACTAAACCCTGGGCTGCATTTCCCAGGAAGCCTGAGGCCTTAAAAGGAAATGCTCAAAACAAGGCCAGGCATGGTAAATCATGCCTGTATTCCCAGCACTTTGGGAGGCCAAGGCGGGTGGATCCCTTGAGGTCAGGAATTCAAGACCAGCCTGGTCAACATGGAAAAAATCCCATCTCTACTAAAATGCAAAAATTAGCCGTGCATGGTGGCAGGAGGTAGAGATTGCAGAGAGCTGAGATCACGCCACTACACTCCAGCCTGGGCAACAGAGTGAGACTTCATCTCAAAAAAAAAAAAAAAAAAGCCGGGCGCGGTGGCTCAAGCCTGTAATCCCAGCACTTTAGGAGGCCGAGGCGGGTGGATCACGAGGTCGAGAGATCGAGACCATCCTGGTCAACATGGTGAAACCCCGTCTCTACTAAAAGTACAAAAAAAACTAGCTGGGCCTGGTGGCGCATGCCTGTAATCCCAGCTACTCAGGAGGCTGAGGCAGGAGAATTGCCTGAGCCCAGGAGGCGGAGGTTGTGGTGAGCCGAGATCGCGCCATTGCACTCCAGCCTGGGTAACAAGAGCGAAACTCCATCTCCAAAAAAAAAAAAACAACTCAAACAAAAGAGGGGCTTTCCAAAGAGAGGGGGAAGAAAAGACAGGAAAAACTGTAAATCGATCTGTTTGCACTTAGCCATGTTTCTAAGTCACGTTTTTGTCTGAGAACTGTTTTTGCCAGAATTTAATCTTTTTTTCGAGACAGTGATCATATGTACTCCAGCCTGGATAATATATACAATCATACGATTGGTTGAGGTGTGGTCATAGCTCACTGCAGCCTCAACCTCCAGGGTTGAAGCAATCCTCCCACCTCAGCCTCTTGAGTAGCTGGAGTTACAGGCACACATCACCACATCCAGCTAATTTTCCTCAAGTAGCTGGAACTACAGATACACACAACCACATTTGGCTAATTTCTCTCCCTCTCTCTCTCTCTCTCTCTCTCTCTCTCTCTCTCTACATATATATATATATATATATTTTTTTTTTTTGGTGGAGTTGGGGGTCTCAATATGTTGCCCAGGTTGGTGTCAAATTCCTGGCCTTAGGTTATCTCCCCACCTTGACTTCCCAAAGTGCTAGGATTACAGGTGTGAGCCACCACTCCTGGCCAACTTTTTCTTATAACAAGTGTTAAGTCATTATATTTTTAAAAAATAAGAAACACAGGCCGGGTGTGGTGGCACACACCTGTAATCCAAGCACTTTGGAGGCCAAGGCAGGCGGATCACCTGAGGTCAGGAGTTCAGGACCAGCCTGACCAACATGGTGAAACCCCGTCTTAGAAAAAATAATAATAAGAAGAAGAAACACAAACATAAAGTAAAAAATGTTTAATATTAAAAGCAATATATTATGTGAAAGACTTAAGGAGGTTGGATATGGTGGCTCATACCTGTAATCTGAACATTTTGGGAGGCCAAGGAGGAAGGAGTTGTTTGTTTTCTGAGATGGAGTCTCACTCTGTTGCCCAGGCTGGAGTGCAGTGCTGCAATCCGGGCTCACTGCAACCTCCGCCTCCTGGATTCAAGCAATTCTCCTGCCTCAGCCTCCCAAGTAGCTAGGACAACAGACGCGTGCCACCATGCCTGGCTAATTTTTGTATTTTTAGTAGAGACAGGGTTTCACTATTTTGGCTGGGCTGGTCTTGAACTCCTGAACTCATGATCTGCCTGCCTCAGCCTCCCAAAGTGCTGGGATTACAGGTGTGAGCCACCATACCCGGCCAGAGGCCAGACGTTTAAGACTAGCTTGGTCAACATGGTAAGACCCGTTTCTATGAAAATTTTTAAAAACTAGCCAGGCATGGTAACATGTGCCTGTAGTCCCAGCTACTTGGGAGGCTGGAACAGAAGAATCACTTGAGCCTAGGAGTTCGAGGCTGCAGCAGTGAGCTATCATTGTGCCAATGAACTCCAGCCTGAGTGACAAAGACCAGGTCTCAAAAAAAAAAAAAAGGCCAAATAAAACATCCAGATGAATCACTAGAGGGCACCCTCATCCAAAAATTTGACAAAAGCCATTTCCTCAACTGGCCTAACTATGCTCATAGAAAACCAAGTGCTATGGGGGGAAGAGCATAATGAAGAATAGCCTGATGGATGCTGGGCTTAATACATAGGTGATGGGTTGAACTTTGCAGCAAACCACCGTGGCACATGTTTACCTATGTAACAAAACTGCAAACGTATCCCAGAACTTAAAAGTTGAAAACAAAAAAAATTTAACACTTCTAATATTTGGAATTAGTCACAACATACAGGCATTCACATTAATTTGGTTATCTTAATGCTATATTTTTTCCTTTCATTACAACCCTCAATGACTGCCTTACCTATGCTTACTCCTGACTTCATAGATTATACCATTATCCCTTTCCCTCAATGGGTTCCATCTATAATGGCCTCCTTCCTACTCAGTGTCTCTCCAGCCTGACAGTGTTAGCCCTTCCTGTTCTCTCTACTCAGAATGTTTTGTTTTGTTTTGTTGAGACGGTCTTGTTCTGCTGCTCAGGCTGGAGTGCAGTGATGCAATCTCAGCTCACAGCAACCTCTGCCTCCCGGTTTCAAGCAATTCTCCTGCCTCAGCCTCCTGAGTAGCTGGAACTACAGGCGCATGACACCATGCCCAGCTAATTTTTGTATTTTTAGTAGAGATGGGGTTTCATCATGTTGGCCATGCTGGTCTCAAACTCCTGACCTTCAGGTGATCCGCCCACCTCTACCTCCCAAAGTGCTGGGATTACAGGTGTAAGACACCACGCCCGGCCAGAATGTTTTTTCAATAATTATTCTTTGAATGGGTCCTTCTCATCATTCAGATAACTCAACTGTAAATTCCAAAAGAAAGATCTTTCCCAACTACCTGACTTTACCTAGCGGCCCTCCAGCTACCACTCATTTTGTTTTGTCTTCAAAGCATTCCGAAACAATACTACCTACTTTGTTTCCCTACTACATTTCTCCCTAGTATGTGGGGTCCATGAAAGGAAATGTGAGTAAGAACTTTCCTGGTTCACAATGTTAAACCCAAGGCTGAGGTCATACATGAAAGAAGCTTGTAAACATCCACTAATTTTTTAATATACGTGAGTCTGAAATAGGACACTTCTGGGTTCAAATCCCAACTGTCACTTTCTAACTTCTAAGTGAATTCAGGCAAATGATTTAGCCTCTCTGGACCTCTCACTGAGTATTGTAAATTTAGCCTGATTCCCACTCATGAGAATGCACGTCCGGCCTCGCTGTTCCAGGAGAGCTGTCTAAGGAGCACAGCAAGGTTAAAGGAAAACTTCTGCCTCCAAAGCCTGGCAAGGGACTGGTGGCAGGAGCTCAGCCCTGCGCTTCAAGGGTCTAAAGGAACACAGATCTTGTTTTTCGTGGAAAAAGGACAAAGCCAGAGGCTGGGCAGCAAGCGGGGCCTGCTCACCGCTTGGAGATCTCCTGGTAGCGCAACTGCAGCTTCGCCTGCAGGTCATGCTGTGGGAAGAGCAGAGGGGAGGTCAGCCTGCAAGGCACCCCAGGAGAGAGGAAAGGAGAGGGCGAGGGACCAGGGATGGCCCGGGGATGCGCATTTTAAGGGAAGGCAGGAGAGGAACACTCGGGGAAAGGGATGTGGGCCTTAAAGGTAAAAGCCGGGGTCCTGGCCCACAAGATCCAAGGCTAAGAAAGTCCTGGATTGGGGAAATCCCAGGCCCGAGCGGGTCCCCGGCGAGGGGAAGGTCCCGGGCTGAAGGGGTCATGAGTTGGGGGTTCCCAGGGAGATTCCGCGGAGAGCGAAGGGTGCCGGGTTAGGAGGGAGGTGAGGAGCAGGAGCGGGTCCGGGACACACGGAGTCCAAAGACCCTCCACGACGCGGCCCTGTCCGCCCCGCGCACCCCGGACGCCCAGTTCCGCAGCCGCTGGATGATACGTGTGGCGGACGCCATCTTCCGTTCGCGCTTCTGAAGAGCGCCGCAGCTGACGTCTCCACCGCAGGGGCTACTGGGAAAGACGCGACGTGGTCTCGCGAGACGATAGTGGGCGGAGCTAGAACGTGCTATAAAGGCTCTCCTCGGAGCACGTGATTCCTCTCCGCCAGGCCGCTGCCGAGCCGCCATTATGGATACCAGCCGTGTGCAGCCTATCAAGTTGGCCAGGGTGAGATAGGGGACCCGAATTTGGGGGCAGCGGAAGGCAGTAGATGAGCTGAGCGGGCCAGGTCTAAACCTAGCTTCTTTCCACCAGGTCACCAAAGTCCTGGGCAGGACCGGTTCTCAGGGACAGTGCACGCAGGTAACCGGGTGGGGGCATTTGGCCGACTCCCAGGGGCCTTAAACCCTGATAGGACCCCTACCTTGCCTTAACCCCTGCCAGCCAGAATCCGGGAACCGATGCTTCTTTCATCCCAGGGCTCTGGTGGCTCCTTAAAGGATCTGTGATCTGGCCCTGACACATTCTCTGAATTCATAACTGCTTCCCACCCCGCGGCCCGCCCTGACGCCTTCCCCCACTCTCCGGTGGGGACCCTTAGGTGCGCGTGGAATTTATGGACGACACGAGCCGCTCCATCATCCGCAACGTAAAAGGCCCCGTGCGCGAGGGCGACGTGCTGACCCTGTTGGAGTCCGAGAGAGAGGCCCGGAGGTTGCGCTGAGTTTGGCTGCTCGCTGGTTAGTGCAAAGAGGAAGGGAGGCTTCGTTAAGCTCTGGGTGAGAGGGCTTGGGAAGCAGAAAGAGTCTGCATTACGGAGACTGGCAAGACGGAGGCGGGATTTTGCCAGTTGCTGCGGGGCCTGTCAGCATCTCACGTTTGGGTCTGTTTACAGGGTTTTGGATGTTGGATTCGACCACTTGAGACGGAAATGGTGTGTCACGATCTGGTCCTTTATTTTATGCTGCCACACGTAAACTGAGATGGACCTGTAAATAAAGTCTTTGTGATACAAGTTAACTCGGGTTCTTGTCTGTGTTATGCGACTAGGGTTTCTGTTTCTTTAGTAGGTTTCTTGCGTGGCTCCCAGGTGGTCACCGATCCTCCCGCACTCTGGAAATGGTCGTGTTTGTATGTATGCACCCTTTACACCAAACAAAACACAAGCGTAGTAGGAGTGTTTTATTAGCAAAGACGTTTCCTTGGTCCCCACTTCACCTCGGTGAGGTCAGGGTGAGCCCCTTCCTGCCACAGTCACCCCAACCGAAACCACCTTTCTCTTCTGCCGGTGTTAGCCTCTGAGCAGAGGACTCTGTACCCTTCTGTGTGCCAAAGGCTGAGGTGACTGAGGAGATCTTCACACAGCCAGGTGTAGTGAGCCAGATGGGGCAGCTCACTGAGCCTGGGCGTTCTCTCCATTGTCACTGCATTCTCCTTCACCAGGTGTGGCACTCTGGGAGCCAGGGGATGACTGTGTCTAGAGAGGGGAAAAAGGGGGAGAGAGGGCAGAGGCTGCAATCTCCTTCAGGCAGGAAACTTGGGATTCCGCCCCAGCCTCACCTAGTGGAGGTTCTTTTACCCGGGAGCCACGCTGTTTGGTTGGAATCCTACCTCTGCCCGTTCTGACCTGGAAGAGGTGCTTGACCTTTGTTCCCACATCTCCCAGTGGGGCTAGTGCAGGTGTTCCTCAACTTACAATGAGTTACATCCCAGTAAATCCATCGTAGGTTGAAAATATTGCAAGTTGAAATGTGTTTAATACACCTAACCTACCAAACATCACAGCTCAGCGTGGTCCATCTTAAGCCTGCTCAGAACTTGTTGCCTGTAGTTGGGGAAACTCCATCTAAGATGAAGCCTATTTTAATAAAGTGTTGAATGTCTCATGTAATGTATTGAATACTCTGGTGAAGTATGGTTTCTGTTAAGTGCACATCGCTTTCACAGCTATCATTAAGTCAAAAAATTGTTGGCCGGGCACGGTGGCTCAAGCCTGTAATCCCAGCACTTTGGAAGGCCGAGGCGGGTGGATCACGAGGTCGAGAGATCGAGACCATCCTGGTCAACCTGGTGAAACCCCGTCTCTACTAAAAATACAAAAAATTAGCTGGGCATGGTGGCGCGTGCCTGTAATCCCAGCTACTCAGGAGGCTGAGGCAGGAGAATTGCCTGAACCCAGGAGGCGGAGGTTGCGGTGAGCTGAGATCACCGCCATTGCACTCCAGCCTGGGTAACAAGAGCGAAACTCCGTCTCAAAAAAAAAACAAAAAAAATTGTAAGTGGTGCCAGGCGTGGTGGCTCACGCCTGTAATCCCAACACTTTGGGAGGCTGAGGTGGGTGGGTCACCTGAGGTCAGGAGTTTGAGACCGGCCTGGCCAACATGGTGAAACCCCATCTCTTGCCACTGCTTTCCAGCCTGGGTAACAGAGCAAGACTGTTGTCTTAAAAAAAAAAAATTACCTGGGCATAGTGGCATGTGCCTGTAGTTTTAGCTACTTGGGAGGCTGAGGTGAGAGAATCACTTGAACCCGGGAGGTGGAGGTTGCAGCAAGCTTGCGATCACCCCACTGCACCTCCAGCCTGGGCAACAGCAAAACTCCATCTCAAAAATAAATAAATGTAAGTGGAGCCATGGTAATTTGGGATCCGCCTGTACAGGATAAGTGGGCTGATTAGACGACTTTGTTTATGAAAGTGCTGAAACAGCCTGGCACTTGCCATCGGAGTATAGTGGTGTTGGAGGCTAATCATGTGTTCTGCAAACTCACCCAGTCTCCAGTTCTGAAGCTCTGGCCCCGCCTCCCTACCCTGCCTGATGGCAAAGGGCTCCTTTTTCCTTGGTAAGAGCTTCCCTGGGAGTAACAGGAGCCCAGGGAAATGCAATGAAAGGTCTTAGCTAGGTCTGTGACCTTAGATTACTTCCCCCTTAGAGGCCTCAGTCTCACGACCTGGGGTAGCATCAGCCTCACACTGGGGTTTTGCTGCTTTAACATCAAATCCCAACCCCTGCCGGACACTGTTTCACACCGGTAATCCCAGCACTTTAGGACATTGAGGCAGAAGGATCCCTTGAGCTCAGGGTTACAGAGTAAGACCCTGTCTCCAAAACCACCACCAAAAAAAAAAAACCCAGCCACATAGGAGAATCCAGACACTGGTTCTGCACCCCTGGTGCTACCTTGAGGGAGCAGAAAGGGAGGCCTGGGCCATATTTACCATCCTCTGCAAACTGAATTTGCAGCTGGGAAGGTTTGTTTGAGAGCTGTGCTCACCTGGGTGTCGGGCTGGCCTGAGCTCAGATGGGCATGTAGCAGAGCGGCCACCTCATCCTGCTCAGCCTCCAAGGCAATGGCCAGGGCACTGGTGCCTTCCTGAAGAACGTTAGGGACAGTCAGGTTCCTGAGCCAAGCCATAGTCCTACCCCCACCCCCAAGATGCCAGCCCTATTATGGGGTTTTACATTGTCCAGGATGGCAGGGTCGCAGCCTGGCTGGGCGAGCAGCAACCGCACGGTGTCCAGGCGCCCATACTCGCTGGCGCACATCAGCGCTGTGGCCCCATCCGCATCCTGTGCATTCACGTCAGCCCCACACGCCAGCAGGGCTGCCACCATGTCCTTTCGGCCATGGCTGATGGCCAACATGAGGGCTGTCTGCCCCGTCTGGGGAGTGGGGAAGAAGCGGGGACAGGCTGGGGTAGGCTCAGGGAAGGGAAGTCACAGGCTGACTCCCAAAGTGGAAGTGACTCCTGGCTGAGAGCCACAGTGGGGGCATACACGCACCTGGCTGGCCTTGGCATTGACATTGCCCATGCAGAAGAGTCTCTCGACCACAGCCATGTCCTCCTTCTCCCGCCCCACAGAGGTGAGTGCAGCCAGCATGAGAGGCGAGTAGCCAGCCCGGTTCTGGCGATTGACCTCACAGACCCCTGGGAGAGAGAAGGGGGCCATCCACTGAGATGCCAACACCCTGGCCTGACTTGATCCACCTACCTCCCTGCAGGCCTCAAGTACGGCACCTGCACACTGGGTGTCTCAACACTTTCCCCACGATAGCCACGTGGTTCCTCCCTCACAAGAGTGTTGCTCAAATATCATCTGCTCAGTGAAGGACCTTCCTATTTTCTTTTCTTTTCTTTTTTTTTTTTTTTTTTTTTTTGAGACAGAGTCTTACTCTGTCCCCCAGGCTGGAATGTGGCATGATCTCAGCTCACTGCAACCCCCGCCTCCTGGGTTCAAGCGATTCTTCTACCTCAGCCTTCCAAGTAGCTGGGACTACAGGCATGCGACATCACACCCAGCTTTTTATATCTTTTTACTAGAGACAGGGTTTCACCATCTTGGCCAGGCTGGTCTTGAATTCCTGACCTCAAGTGATCCACCCAACTTGGCCTCCCAAAGTGCTGGGAATACAGGCATGAGCCACCAGCCCAGACCTCACTATTTCAGACCAGGCAGGAACTTGGTTTTGTTTGCTGCTGTATCCCTCAGTACTTAGAAAAAAAACCTGGCACACAGTAGGTGCTCAGTTAACATTTGTTGATTGAATAAAATGACAGGTTTATTTTCAGGGCCACCACCTGCCAAGGCACCATTGTTGCTCCCCTACAGAACAGTGCCAACCTCCACCCTTGTCTCTGAATCCACTCCAGGTTCCACACAGCAGCTGGGATCAACTATTTATTTATTTAGAAACAGAGTCTTGCTCTGTCGCTCATGCTGCAGTGCAGTGGCACAATCTTGGCTCGCTGCAACCTCCACCTCCTAGGTTCAAGTGATTCTCCTGCCTCAGCCTCCTAAGTAGCCGGAATTATAGGCACATGCCATGACACCCTCTAATTTTTGTATTTTTAGTAGAGACGGGGTTTCACCATGTCGGTCGGGCTGGTCTCAAACTCCTGACCTCATGAGCCACCTGCCTTGACCTCCCAAAGTGCTGGGATTACAGGCATGAGGCACCATGCCTGGTCAGGAGCAACAGTTTAAAATTAATTTGGTGGCCAGGCACCATAGTGCATGCCTGTAATCCCAGCACTTTGGGAGGCCAAGGTGCTGGATCACTTGAGGTCAGGAGTTTCAGACCAGCCCAGCCAACATGGTGAAACCCTGTCTCTACTAAAAACACAAAAAAATGGTTGGGCATGGTGGTGGGTGCTTGTAATCCCAGAAACTTGGGAGGTTGAGGCAGGAGAATCACTTGAACCTTGGAGGCAGAAATTGCAGTAAGGCCGAGATCGTGCGACTGCACTCCAGCCTGAACAACAGTGTGACCCAGTCTCAAAAAAAAAAAAAAAAAAAACTGCCAACACCTTGATTTCCAACTTGTTTTTCAAACCTGTTGTTTGAAGCTGCCCACAGTTGATATTTTGATGGCAGCCCTAGGAAACAAAATAGCCTGGTCAACACTGCCTGTCCTGAATGAAACACAAATGTGAGCTCAGTTTCCTCTGGGATCAGTTCTGTTATCATCCTAGCCCTTGTTCCTCACAGCACCTGTTTCGATGGCATTTCCTAGAGTGTCTATATTAATGCCTGTCTCTTTCCATTCTGAAGGCTCTGAGGATGGAGGTAGTGTAAGGAAATGAGTGGGCAAGCGGGACATATAGTGAGGAGCTTGGAGAAGAGCTGGGTCAGGATTATGGAATGGATATCCTAGTGAGGAAGGAGAGCTGAAATGAGGAACTGGGAATAAAGGGTTAAGTCAAATGACAGAAAAATAGGGGCTAGGCATGGTGGTTCATGCCTGTATACCCAATCCATAGGGAGGCCAAGGCAGGAGGATCACTTGAGGCCAGGAGTCAGAGGCCAGCCTGAGCAATACAGTGAGACCCCCATCTCTTAAAAAAACAAAAAACTTGGCCAGTCACAGTGGCTCACACCTGTAATCCCAGCACTTGAGAGGCCTAGGTGAGCTGATCACAAAGCCAAGAGATCAAGACCATTCCTGGTCAACATAGTGAAACCCCATCTCTACTCAAAATACAAAAAATTAGCCAGGCGTGGTGGCATGTGCTTATAGTCCCAGCTACTCAGGAAGCTGAGGCAGGAGGATCGCTCAAACTGGGAGGCAGAGGTTGCAGTGAGCCCAAATCTTACCACTGCACTCCAGCCTGGTGACAGAGAGAGACTCAGCCCAAAAAAAAAAAAAAAAAAAATTAGCTGGGTGTGATGGCTCGTGCCTGTGGTCCCAGATACTCAAGAGGCTGAGGTGGGAGGATCCCTTGAACCTGGGAGGTTGAGGCTGCAGTGAGCTATGATCACACCACTGCACCCCAGCCTAGGCAACAGAGCTGTCTGTAAAAAGGGGTGGGGAGGATGTTCCCTGTTTGGGTGGCATGCCCTGTGGGTGTCCATGCCTTCCACTGAGACACCAGTGCAAGGCATCATGTGGGGGGGGGCACACAGAAATAGCCAGAGTGGGGTCCCTGCAGGCTAGCCAAGGGACCCACCCATTTTCCGCTCCCTCTCTCTTTCCTATTGCAGCTGCCCTTGGCCTTGCTTAACTAAGGAATCACCCTGACCAGGCACAGTGGTTCATGACTATAATCCCAGCACTTTGGCAGCCAAGGCAGGAGGATCACTTGAGCTCTGGCATTCGAGACCAGCCTGGGCAACAAAGACCTCATCTCTTCTAAAAATACAAAAATTAGCCAGGCGTGGTGGTGAATGCCTGTAGTACCAGATACTTGGGAGACTGAGGCAGGAAGATCACTTGGGCCCAGAAATTGGAGACAAGCCTGGGCAACATAGGGAAACTCACGTCTACAAAAAAATTAAAAAAGATTCACCCTCTTCATTGACTTCATCCTCTGGTTGTGTTCTGCTAGACCACTTGCCACCATTTGAAATTATTTCTTGTTTTTACTTGATAATCATCTCTTTCCACTCTTCCCTCACCACCCCCACCACACACGCACTCAAAACCACACATTCCTGAATGTTCTTTGGAAGCAGATATTCACTCAACACACACTTGAGGGTTTGCTGTGGGTTTATCAGGCAGGCAGGTAGAGTCAGCTGACAGAAGGGTATGGAGAAGAGTTCACGACAGGCTGAAGGAGGATGACAGAGGCAAAGAGACAAGGGGTAGGGGCTGTGAAACAGAGAGGGGGTAGTGGGTAACTACCCCCGTAAGGTCCAAGGATTGCTGGTGTTGGGGAATGGGAGCCAGTGAGCTGAGAAGTTGGGAGGTGAGGGGCAGGAAGCAGGGAGCTGGGAAGTGAAATTCTGTAGGGGGCACAATTATTAGTGACATCAAGGTCTGGGGCTGACCTGATACCTGTAAAGCTGGTGTGGGGCAGAGTCAAGATCAAGGAAGAGCCGCCAGCAGGTTGGAGGAATCATAGGGGAGGATATTGAAATTTACACGTGCTGGCCAGGTGCGGAGGCTCACTCCTGTAATCCCAGTACTTTGGGAGGCTGAGTCCGGTAGATCACCTGAGGTCAGGAGTTCAAGACCAGCCTGGCCAACATGGTGAAAACCCATCTGTACTGAAAATACAAAAATTAGCTGGGCACGGTGGTGCTCCCCTGTAATCCCAGCTACTTGGGAGGCTGGGGCAAAAGAATCGCTTGAACCCACGAGGTGGAGGTTGCAGTGAGCTGAGATCATACCACTGCACTCAAGCCTAGGCAACAGAGTGAGACTCAGTCTCAAAAAAAAGAAAAAAAAAGAAAGAGCACACCACTGCACTCCAGCCTGGGTGACAGAGTGAGACTCTGTCTTAAAAAAAGAAAAAAGAAATTGAGCCAGGCACGGTGGCTCACACCTGTAATCCCAGACCTTTGGGAGGCCAAGGTGGGTGGATCTCGAGGTCAGGAGATCAAGACCATCCTGGCCAACATGGTGAAACTCTGTCTCTACTGAAATACAAAAATTAGCCTGGCATGGTGGTATGTGCCTGTAGTCCCAGCTACTTGGGAGGCTGAGGCAGGGGAATCACTTCAACCCAGAGGGCGGAGGTTGCAGTAAGCCAAGATTTACACCACTGCACTCCAGCCTGGCGATAGAGCAAGACTCTAAGTAAAAAAACAAAAAAGAAGAAAAAGAAAGAAAGAAAGAAAAAAAGAAATTGACAAGCACAGCACAGTTCTCCCTACTTTCTCACTTATAGTTCTCAAGAATAACCACAGAATGCTCTGGAAATGCAACACCTTGAGATAAGGAAGAACTAGCTGGAACAGGCTAGGCTCTGTTCCTGTCCCCATCTAGAAATAGGTTGTCCTTTAATGCATTAGCCCAGTTCCTGTTCCCCAGAGTATAAAACCTAGAGCTAGAGTGGGCTGCTTTCCTGGGTCCCTCACCTGCAGTACGAGTGGGACACCTGCAGACCAGATTCCATCCAACTTGGGCAGCCTGCCTGAGCCTTGGGGGATTGGCTCACTGTCAACCCTAGGCTTCGTTGTCCCTTGCCTGCCTGTCTGTAAGTAGGGAACCTGCTTCGTGTAACTTGTTATGTGAGTGAGTGTTCTACCTTACCAGACTCGGCAGGTAGGGAAAACACATTCCAAGGTGCAGTTGGCTGAAGAGACAACCAGTGCACAGTGGACCTGCTTTGCAGCAAGGATTAGGCTGGAGGGAGAAAGGGAGAACTGGCCAGGAGCTAAAGTTCAAGAAACAAGGAGCGACTTGAGGTCAAAGGGGGAAGCCGGAAGAAGGGGCTGAGTGGGGAGGGGTCTAATCGGTGGCAAGATGCTCCAAGGTAGGGTTTGAGGAGGAAGAGGGGGAAAGGTGTGGAAGTGGACAGCAAGACAAGGTGCACACACAGGTACCTCAAGGCTCTGGATTCGAGGAGATGAAAGAGGAAACAGCCCCTGAATGCAGGGACATTGGTGTATATGACAGCAAGCAAGTAGGGGCAGAGGGGAGATGGGTGAGAACCAGGGGCCCCAGGGGGAAGGTCTGGAGAGGTGAAGGCAAATGGGAATTAGAGGCTGGGCACACTGGCTCATGCCTGCAATCCCAGCACTTTGGGAGGCTGAGGCAAGAGGATTACTTGAGGTCAGGAGTTCCAGACAGCCTGGCCAACATGGTGAAACCTTTTCTCTACCTCGTCTCAAAAGTACAAAAATTAGCTGGGCATCGTGGCGGGTGCCTGTAGTCCCACCTACTTGGCAGGCTAAGGCAGGAGAATCACTTGAACCTGGGAGGTGGAGATTGCAGTGAGCAGAGATCGTGCCACTGCACTCCAACCTGGATGACAGAGCGAGACTCCATCTCAAAAAAAAAAAAAACAAAAAACAACAACAACACATAGGGATTCCAATGCAGGAGATAAATAGGGCCAAGGAGCCAGGGGCCTCTGGTGGTGACCAATGATGCCTACACCCCTGCCACAGCCACAGCCCCCTTTAAGGCATGAGATGCCCAAGAAATTCATTTGGATTCATTCCCTGTCTCCTGTCTCCTACAATGCTCCAGCTTCCAGAGCAGCTGTGTCCTTTCCTGGGTCACAAAGACCTCCAGGGCTGGGAGGGATCTGTGGGTTTAGAGGGTTGGGGACAGACAGTGGGATCCGCCGCAGTCTGCAGTGAGTGCCAGAGGTGCCCAAAGGCTGACTCAGAGGTTACTGAACCTGCAGGAGGGACCTAGAGGGAGGGGGCTCCTGGAGGGGTTTACTGCCCACCAGACCCTCTGTGCCCAGTCTCACGGGAAAGGCAGCTGGAGGTTGGTAGGGCACAGTGCCACATCCCAGAAGGGAAGGAGTCAGAGCCCTGCCTGGTGAGTACTTCACCTCTAAGCTGGACACTGGGACTCGGGAACTCAGTGAGTGCTCCCACTGGAGATTCAGGGACAAAGTACATGGTGGCCATTTACTGATCTACTACCTGTCTGGCAGTTTTACATGTATTATCATAGCCACTCAGGGACGGAGGCCTTGCCAACCCCATTTCACAAGATTTAATAATGCCCCTAAACTCAGAGGTCTACCTCAGCCCAGAGCTGGGTATTCCATCCAACTGCAAAGTGGCAGGAGCCTCAGGGCAGAACTAGGGGTATGGTGGGACCAAAAGGCCTTTTGTTTTTTTTGGAGATGGAGTATTGCTTTGTCGCCCAGGCCGGAGTGCAGTGGTGCTCACTCTTGGCTCACTGCAACCTCTACCTTTTGGGTTCAAGCGATCCTCATACCTCAGCCTCCTGAATAGCTGAGATTACACATGCCCACTACCATGCCCAACTAATTTTTGTTTTTCTGTTTTTGTTTTTGAGACTGAGTCACACTCTGTTGCCTAGGCTGGAGTGCAGTGCCGTGTTCTCAGCTGACTTCAACCTCCACCTGGGTTCAAGTGATTCTCATGCCTTACCTCCTGAGTAGCTGGGATTACAGGCATGTGCCACCACACCCAGTTAATTTTTGTATCTTTAGTAGAGATGGGGTTTCACCATGTTGGCCAGTCTGGTCTCAAACGCCTGACCTCAGGTGATCTGCTTGCCTCCGTCTCCCAAAGAGCTGGGATTACAGGTTTGAGCCACTGCCCCGGCCTAATTTTTGTATTTTTAGTTGAGACGAGGTTTTGCCATGTTGGCCAGGCTGGTCTTGAACCCCTGACCTCAAGTGATCTGGGATTATAGGCCACCATGCCCCCACCCCGAGGGCAGAAGGCCTTTGGGAACCCAGACACAAAGAGGTTTAAAACCCATGGAGGGGCTGGGTACAGTGGTTCACACCTGTAATCCCAGCAGTTTGGGAGGCCAAGGTGGATGGATCACCTGAGGTCAGGAGTTCGGGACCAGCCTGGCCGACACATGGTGAAACCCTGTCTCTACTAAAAATACAAAAATTAGCCAGGCATGATGGTGCATACCTGTAATCTCAGCTACTTGACTGAAACAGGAGAATTGCTTGAACCCAGGAGGCAGACGTTGCAGTGAGCCAAAACCACGCCATTGCACTCAAGCCTGGGCAACAAGAGAGACTCCAATTCAAAAACAAAAATACAAACAAACAAACAAACAAAAAACCCCAAAGAGGTTGGCTAGGTGCGGTGGCTCATGCCTGAAATTCCAGCACTTTGGGAGGCTAATGCAAGTAGATCACGAGGTCAGGATATCGTGACCATCCTGACCAACATGGTGAAACCCTGTCTCCACTAAAAATAGAAAAATTAGCTGGGTGTGGTGGCTCAGGTCTGTAGACCTAGCTACTCGGGAGGCTAAGGCAGGAGAATCGTTTGAACCCAGGAGGCAGAGGCTGCAGTGAGCCAAGATCGTGCCACTGCACTCCAGCTTGGTGACAGAGCCAGACTTCGTCAAAAAATAAAATAAAATAAAAACCCGAGGAGGAGTGGTGCCCTCTGCTGGACAGCCATTCTCTGCCTTCCTCTCCAGAGTCTTCGTGCCTAGGTCAGCTCCTGCCCTCTCCTCCCCCATTTCCTGGTGTCCCACCCACTGTCCCTTGGCTCTGACCCGTATCCATGAGCAAACTCGCGATGACCAGGTTCCCGTGGGACACACTGTAGTGAAGGGCCGTGTTCCCGTTGCCATCCGCCAGGTTCACCACGTGCTCCAGCAGCTCGGGCCCCAGGCTCCTCACCCCTTCCAGCATCCTTGCCACGGGCTCCGCCTGAGAGCGCCGCTGGCTAGACACTCGAAACCACTCCTGGGCCACCAGGCGCACTGCGCCCTGCCGGGATGGAGCAAAGATAACATTGGTGACGGTCCACAACGCCATGGTGAGGGAGCTGGGGATGGGCAGGGACTGGGAAGCGACCCCTTTGGCGTTTCCAGGCAGGGAAGGAAGGTCACTCCTTGTCCCGGTGGGAAGCCATGGGGACCCAGATGGAAGGCCGGGGCCACACCCCTATCGGAAGGGGTCCTTTCCTTCTAGGGAAGGATTTGTGGGAGAACCTGGAATGGGGAAAGGCAATGAGCGCTTGCTCTTGGGGAATCCTGGAGTGGGGCCGGGGATTGGCCCCTTTGGGGAAACCAAGGAAAGATCAGCGCTGTCCTGGGACCGAAATCCCTTCGGAGAGCCAGGGGTCAGGCGAGGTGCCTGGCGGGAAGGGACGCTCCCCTAAGTGGTGTCAGAGGTCCTTGGAGGCGCCCGCGCCACTCTTGGGGGCACTCACGCTGTCGCGGGCTACTCCTCGGGGCCGACTCAGCTGCCGCTGCAGCACTGCGCATGCCTCCCTCAGACGAGGGCTCAGCTCGCACCTGCAGAGGAGGCAGGGCCAGGCTCAGGAGGGATCAGGGGGCAGCACCGACCAGAAGGGAAGCAGCCGCCTCCTCTCCAAACTCCTCGCGAGCACCTCTCACCTCCCCTGTGCCACCGGCTGAGACTCTGCCTCCGCCTCAGGCTCAGGGTCCTGGATGTCTGTGCCGCTGGGAGGACCAGGGGTGCCGGAGTCGGATCCCCCGCCGCTGTCATCCCCAGAACCCGAGGAGCTCCCAGAGGGCTTGGCACCTCCGTTCTCGCTGTCGCCATCGCTGTCGCTGGCGTCCTCGCTGGAGGAGCTCTCGTACCTGGGGGCAGGGTGGGAGGCGTCTGCTAAACCTCCCCTGTGGGCTCGTTCTGGAGGCCTGCGACGTGGGTGTGGCCGTCCCCATTTTACAGATGAGGAAACAAGATTGCCAAGACTACGCTGCCAGCAGAGGGGCAGAGTTGGGATTGCAACCCCGGTCCACGTCCCGGCAGAAGCTGCCATGGTAGGGGAAAGGCGCTCACTCTCCGTTGAGGACCCCAACAAACTGCAGGCTCTTGGGTCCAGAGCTGGGTTGGGCACCAGGTGTGCCGTCTCTCTTCTTCATGATGGATTTGAGGATGCCTGGAGGGGATGAGATGAGGGCACTGAGTTCAAGTACGGCGCCCAGCAGGCCAGGGCCTAGCGACCGGGTCGGGACTCACCCGCAGTGGCCACGGCTCTGTCTCTCTCCGTGGATCTCGGCGGGCCCTCCTGAGTCAGGAAGGACGCCTCTGCCAGGGGCTCAGTCTGTGCGGCCTTCTGGGCACAGCTCCACGGGGTCTGGGTGGTGGCCTCGCAGGACTGGACACGGGCCGTGGCCGCCGCTGCCGCCTCCTCCGCAGCCTCGCGGGCCTCCTCCAACTCCCGCAGCCGGCCCCGCAGAAGCTCACTCACCCCGCGCTGGTGCTCCAGGCTGGCACGCAGCAGCTCCAGCTCGCGCTCGACGGCCGCAGGCAGCCCCAGCAGCGCCTCGGTCACCCACGTGTCCGCCTCAACGGTCTCGGGGACCGCCTCCACACCGGCCTCCTGGGTCTCCGGCACAGCCTGGGCACCCTCTTCTCGGGTCTCGGGCACGGCCTCGGCAGCCACCTCCCGAATCCGGGGCGTCCCATCTAGGATCACGACTGACGCGTCGAGGACCTGGACCGCGCCCTCGCTTTGCCCTGCAGCCAGGCCATCTGAGCTGTCAGCCCAGGGGCTGGCCTTGGCACGGACGCCGCGCTCGGAGGTGGCCAGGCGCTCGGTGAGGCGCCGCAGCTGGGCGAGCTTGTCCGGGCGCCCCTCGGCCTCCCCGTCGGGCTCAGGCTGCGCGCGCCCAGCCAGCAGCCGCGCCTTCTCCGCGCGCAACGCGCGCACCTGCTCCTGCAGCTCTGGCAGCGCGCGCGCCTGGTCCTCGAGCTCGCGCAGGCGCCGAAGCGCCGCAGCCATCTGCTCTCGCACCAGCTGCAGTTGGGCGGGGCCGGGCGAGGCGGGCGCGAGGTTAGGGGCTGGGCTGCTGCGGCCAGACCCGCATGGGCTGCGTGGGATCCCGCGGCCAGGGCTGGGCGAGCGCTCGTGCGCCTGCGCCATCTCCAGCCGCCGGCTGGTCTCCTGGAGCGTGTGCTCGACGCGCGGGTTGCGCACGGGAGCGCACGGTGACAGCGACGGCACCAGGAGCCCGGAGGACGCGCCTGGGGAGAGTACGCCCGGTGCTCCACCGTCGTCACTGGCCAGGGACTCGCTGGATGTCCAGGCGCCTGGGCTACGTGCGCCCGCGAGGCTGGGCCGGGGCGCGCGGGGAGGACGCGCGGGCGGTGGTCCCAGGGCGCGGCGGGCGGCGGGGCCACGCTCCAGCTCCTCTACGTACTTGAGGAAGTCCAGGTCCAGGTGGAAGCCATAGGGTGTTTCCACCCAGTAGGGCGAGCTGGGGCTGCGGGCGCCCCGGGCGGCGGGGACCGGGCACAGGCGGGGGCCGCCCAGGTCTGCGTGCACAACGGGGGCACAGGGAGGGGGCATCAGAATGGGGAGACCCGGGAGATAAGTAAGCAAACCGAGCGTGTCCCTCAACAACGCCCACGGTTCACACCTATCTGTACCCAAGTATTAACTCAGTCGTGCGTTTATTGAGCGCCTACTCTGTGCTAAGCACGTTTCTAGGCCTTGGGGACACAGCAGTGAGCAAGACAAACATCCCTGTCCTCCTGTAGGAAGCAGATAAGCATCCTTCCAAATGATGCCTACGGCAATGATAATAATAATAGGAAATAAAAAGAGGAGGAGCGACTTAGGCTCTGGTTGTCAGGGAAGCATTCCTGTGGAGGGGACGTTCCTGTGGAGTGGAACCCTGGCCCAGCCTCACACCTGTAATCCCGGCACTTTGGGATGCCGGGGCAGGCAGATCACCTGAGGTCAGGAGTTCCAGACCAGCCTAGCCAACATGGTGAAACCCCGTTTCTACTAAAAATACGAAAATGACCCAGGTGGTAGTGGCACGCGCCTGTAATCCCAACTATTCTGGAGGCTAAAGCAGCAGAATCGCTTGAACCTGGGAGGTGGAGGTTTCAGTGAGCCAAGATCGGTCCACTGCACACCAGCCTGGGCAACAGAGACTGCATCTCAAAACAAATAAACAAACAAAGGGGCCCCTTCCAGTTGTGGTGGCTCACACCTGTAATCCCAACACTTTGGGAGGCTGAGGTGGGTGGATCACTAGAGCCCAGGAGTTCGAGACCAACCTGGGCAACATATTGAGACCCCCATCTCCAAAAAAAAAAAAAAAAAAAAATAGCTGGGCATAATGGAGCATGCCTGTAGTCTCCGCTACTTGAGAGGATGAGGTGGGAGGATCATAAGGTGGGAGGATCACTTGAGCCCAGGAGGCAGAGGTTTCAGTGAGCTGAGATGGCATAACTGCACTCCAGATGGTGACAGAGTAAGACCTGATCTCAAAAAAAAAAAAAAGGTTGGTGTGGGGAAGCCCTGCACGATGAGCAATGAGGAGGAAGCAGCTGGGAACAGGTTTCTAGAAGAAAACAGCCCATGGAGGGTCAGCTGGAATCAGAGTGGGGTGGATACCAGGGTGTCCAGAGCAGAGTGAAGGAAGGGAGGGGGAAGAGGAATGTAGGTAGAGGGGCCACACTTCCTAGGGTTGAGGGCTACCTGGAAGCCGTGTGTATTCCATTTGTGATTAGTACCATAGGTGGGTTTTGTTTTGTTTTGTTTTGTCTTTTTGAGATGGAGGCTCGCTCTGTCACCCAGGCTGGAGTGCTGTAGATCCATCTCTGCTCACTGCAGCCTCCCCCTCCCAGGTTCAAGTAATTCTCCTACCTCAGCCACCTGAGTAGCTGGGACTACAGGCACACACCACCATGCCAGGCAAAAAAAATTTTTTTTTAGATGGAGTTTCACTCTTCTTGCCCAGGCTGGAGGGCAATGGTGCCATCCTAGGTCACTGCAACCTCCACTTCCCGAGTTCAAGTGATTCTCCTGCCTCAGCCTCCCAAGTAGCTGGGATTATAGGCACGTGCCACCATGCCTGGCTAATTTTTGTATTTTTAGTAGCGATGGGGTTTCACCATGTTGGCCAGGCTTGTCTGAAACTCCTGACCTCAGGTGATCCACCTGCCTTGGTCTCCCAAAGTGCTAGGATTACAGGTGTGAGCTCCGCACCTGGCCGTGATTGATGCCATAGGTGATTTAAAGCAGGGCAAGACATTGGAGAGGACCCTCTGGCCATTGTAGGGCTGTGTCCCCACACACAGGCATTGGATGTGGCTCTGTGGATGAACACACACACACACACACACACACACACACACACACACATACATATATATCTGTTTCTATACACTCACCAGGCAGGTTCTGATTCAGGGCAAACTTGGCCATGTTTCCTGCAGCAGCTGTCAGAGGTGCCCTGCAAAAGGGGTGAAGGTGGGGCTTGGCACTGTCCCTCTGGCTGGAGCCTCTGGGGCTTGCCTTTGAGTCTAAGTAAACAGTACCCCAACCTCCTCCTGCTTCACCCACCCACCTCCCTCCACACATTCCCTCTCCTTCCTCTTCCCTTAAGAGACCTTGAAACTTTTTATTTTTTGAGACAGAATCTTGCTCTGTGGCCTAGGCTGGAGTGCAGTGGTGTGATCTTGGCTCACTGCAACCTCCGCCTCCCAGGTTCAAGCAATTCTCCTGCTTCTGTCTCCTGAGTAGCTGGGATTGCAGGCATGCGCCACCACGCCCGGCTAATTTTTGTGTATTTTTTTTTAATAGCAACTGGGTTTCACTATGTTGGCCAGGCTGGTCTCAAACTCCTGACCTTGTGATCCACCTGCCTCAGACTCCCAAAGTGCTGGGATTGCAGGTGTGAGCTACCACACCCAGCCAAAACTTCACATCCAGCTTTTTTTTTTTTTTTTTTTTTGTATTTTTTAGTAGAGATGGGGTTTCACCGTGTTGGCCAGGATGGTCTCGATCTCTTGACCTCGTGATCAAGGGTTGCCTGCCTTGGCCTCCCAAAGGACTGGGATTACAAGTGTAAGCCACTGCACCCAGCCAAAACTTTTCATTTCTTTTCTTTTTTTTTTTTTTTGAGACAGAGTCTTGCTCTGTCGCCTAGGCTTGGAGTGCAGTGCCACAATCTTGGCTCATTGCAGCCTCTGCCGCCCAGGTTCAAGAGATTCTTCTAGGCCGGGTGCGGTGGCTCAAGCCTGTAATCCCAGCACTTTGGGAGGCCAAGGCGGGTGGATCACGAGGTCGAGAGATCGAGACCATCCTGGTCAACGTGGTGAAACCCCGTCTCTACTAAAAATACAAAAAATTAGCTGGGTGTGGTGGCGCGTGCCTGTAATCCCAGCTACTTAGGAGGCTGAGGCAGGAGAATTGCCTGAGCCCAGGAGGCGGAGGTTGCGGTGAGCCGAGATCGCGCCATTGCACTCCAGCCTGGGTAACAAGAGCGAAACTCCGTCTCAAAAAAAAAAAAAAAAAAAAGAGATTCTTCTGCCTCAGCCTCCCGAGCAGCTGGGATTACAGGTGCCCACCACCATATCCTGCTACTTTTTGTATTTTTAGTAGAGACAAGGTTTCACCATATTGGCCAGGCTGGTCTCAAACTCCTGACCTCAAGTGATTCACCTGCCTCGGCCTCCCAAAGTGCTAGGATTACAGTCATGAGTCACCATGCCTGGGCAACCTTGAAACTTTGGATGGAATGAATGAGCCCCAGGTGTCAGACCTCAGCCAGCTGGACAAGAGGAAGCAGGAAAGATGTCAAGCAAAGAGAGGAAGATGATCAAGAAAACAAGGGTAGCTGGAAGTGGGGGGGCATTCCAGACCTGCTGGGTTTTCTGGTAACCTCTGGGGAAAATTAGAAATGGATGCTCTATGTAGTGGGCTGTGAGCCTTTAGAAAAGGAAGACCAAAGTTGGAAATCCTTCATGGGATCATTAAAAACTCATCTGGAGGCCAGGAGAGTGGCTCATGCCTGTAATCCCAGCATTTTGGTAGGCCATGCTGGGCGGATCATGAGGTCAGGAGTTCAATACCAGACTGACCAATATGGTGAAACCCTGTCTCTACTTAAAATACAAAAATTAGCCAGGCATGGTGGTGAGCACCTGTAATCCCAGCTACCCAGGAGGCTGAGGCAAGAGAATTTCTTGAACCTGGGAGGTTGCCGTAAGCTGAGATTGCACCACTGCACTCCAGCCTGGCGACTAAGAGAGACTGCATCTCATACAAAAAATAAAAATTAAAAAGCAAAAACAAACAAAAAAACCTTATCTGGGAACAGATACCCTGGCTTACACCTGTAATCCTAGCACTTTGAGAGGCTGAGAGGGGTGGATCACCTGAGATCAGGAGTTTGAGACCAGCCTGGCTAACATGGTAAAACCTTGTCTCTACTTAAACTACAAAAATTAGCCAGGTGTAGTGGTGAGCACCTGTAATCCCAGCTACTCTGGAGACTGAGGCAGCAGAATTGCTTGCACCCAGGAGGTGGAGGTTGCAGTGAGTCAAGATCGTGCCACTACACTTCAGCCTGGGTGACAGAGTGAGACTTGGTCTCAAAAAAAAAAAAATCATGTAATTGTGCATCCAAATTTTTACCAAGGTCAATTGTGAAACTCTTGCAGGAATGATGGGAAATTGTGGGCTACATGCACAAAAGATCCACATCAACAAATCATTGGATACTTGTCTCCCTGGAATGTTGCTAGTGGAGTTTCACAGGGCTTGATCCTTGGCTTGTAAGAGTTTGTAGGCCGGGCACAGTGGCTCACGCCTGTAATTCTAGCACTTTGGAAGGCTGAGGCGGGCGGATCACGAGGTCAAGAGATGGAGACCATCCTGGCCAACATGGTGAAACCCATCTCTACTAAAAATACAAAAATTAGCTGGGTGTGGTGGCATGTGCCTGTAGTCCCAGCTACTCGGGAGGCTGAGGCAGGAGAATTGCTTGAACCCGGGAGGCGGAGGTTGCAGTGAGCCAAGATCGTGCCAATGCACTCCAGCCGGGGTGCCTGGCAACAGAGCGGGACTCTGTCTCAAAAAAAAAAAAAGTTTGTAATGCAAACACAAACCCCTGGGTTATAAGAGCTGTGCTGTTCATGGGGCTGCGGGAGAAAGTGACTGTTCAGATGACATGATGGTGTCTGTAAGAAAGTGAGGAAGATTGGCCACATAATAATGTGATATTTAGGGAGGCCGAGGTGGGTGGATCACGAGGTCAAGAGATCGAGACCATCCTGGTCAACATGGTGAAACCCCGTCTCTACTAAAAATACAAAAATCAGCTGGGCATGGTGGTGTGCACCTATAGTCCCAGCTACTCAGGAGGCTGAGGCAGGAGAATTGCCTGAACCCAGGAGGTGGAGGTTGCGGTGAGCCGAGATCGCGCCATTGCACTCCAGCCTGGGTAACAAGAGCGAGACTCCATCTCAAAAAAAAAAATAAATAAATAAAAATAAATAAATAAAAAAATAAAAAAAAAGGCCGGGCGCGGTGGCTCACGCCTGTAATCCCAGCACTTTGGGAGGCCGAGGCGGGTGGATCACGAGGTCAAGAGATCAAGACCATCCTGATCAACATGGTGAAACCCTGTCTCTACTAAAAATACAAAAAATTAGCTGGGCATGGTGGCGCGTGCCCGTAATCCCAGCTACTCAGGAGGCTGAGGCAGGAGAATTGCCTGAACCCAGGAGGCAGAGGTTGCAGTGAGCCGAGATCGCGCCATTGCACTCCAGCCTGGGCAACAAGAGCGAAACTCTGTCTCAAAAAAAAAAAAAAAAAAAAAAAATAATGTGATATTTAACAAGGACAAATATTGAATCCAGAACTTTGGTTCAAAAAGCACAGGGTGGACTGGGCACGGTGGCTCATGCCTGTAATCCCAGCACTTTGGGAGGCCGAGGTGGGCAGATCATGAGGTCAGGATATCAAGACCATCCTGGCAATGGTGAAATCCCATCTCTACTAAAATACAAAATTAGCCGGGCATGGTGGCATGCACCTGTAGTCCTAGCTACTCAGGAGGCTGAGGCAGGAAAATCGCTTGAATCCAGGAGATGGAGGTTTCAGTGAGCCAAGATCATGCCACTGCACTCTAGCCTAGTGAAAGAGCAAGACTCCGTCTCAAAAGAAAAAAAAGCACAGGATGAAATCTCAGCACTCTGGGAAGCAAAAGCAGAAGGATCACTTGAGCCAGGAAGGAGTTCCACACCCACCTGGGCAACATGGCGAGACCCTATATCTATTTTTTTTTCTTTTTGAGACAAAATACAAAAATTAGCCGGGTGTAGTGGCACGCACCTGTAATCCACCTGTAATCCTAAGTACTCAGGAGGCTGAGGCAGGAGAATTGCTTGAAGCCAGGAGGTGGAGGTTGCAGTGAGCCAAGATCCAGCCACTGTACTCCAGCCTGGGCAACAGAGCAAGCCTCCTTCTCAAAAACAAAACAAAACAATACACCACCTGGCAACCCTCCCAGCCACCACTTCTGGCTTTTTTAATCCCTGGTGACCACCTGTGTGCCTAACCCTACCAGGCATTGAGCATCCCTCAGCCCCCTGGACTCATTACCCTCCTCCACTGATGGGGAGACCCTGATCCCATTTCCTTCCTATGTCTGGCTGAAGTCCCTGAACTCTCCCTTCCTCCTCCAAGGCCAGGCAGGGCGCCCCTTCCAGTCCCCAAGCAGCTGTTTCCCGTCCCTTCACACTAGCTGCAAGGGGTGGGTCAACAGGCCAACAGGTCATCGCAGAGGACAGCCAATACCATTCATCACTTGTTTTCAGGAAATTGCCAGGAAAGAACTGGGCTGTGGAAAAAGCCCAGATTGAGGCTTGGGGGTCTGGGTCTGCTTCTCACACAGCTGGCTGTATGATGCAATGGGGTCAGCATCCTCCTCCAATGACTTGGTCACACCCAAATCCCAGGCCCTAGGATCTCAGAAGACAGCTGTGGGCCATTCCTGAGGCCTAAACTAGCTGAAGCAGTTGGATCCAGAGGCTGGGCTAAAAAAAGGAATGGATACCCCCAGAGTGTCAAATCATAACAACACTTTTGACATTTACTACAGGACAGCCTCTAGTCTAAGCAATTTATTGATCTCTTTTTTTTCCTTTCTTTCTTTCTTTTTTTTTTTAGACGGACACTTGCTCTGTCACCAGGCTGGAGTGCAGCTCCAGCTCGGCTCACTGCAACCTCCACCTCCTGGGTTCAAGCAATTCTCCTGCCTCAGCCTCCCGTGTAGCTGGGATTACAGGCACCTACCACCACATCCAGCTATATTTTTATATGTTAGTAGAGACAGGGTTTCACCATGTAGGCCAGGATGGTCTCAATCTCCTAACCTCGTGATCTGCTGGCCTCTGCTTCCCAAAGTGCTGGGATTTCAGGTGTGAGCCACTTTGCCTGGACTCTTTTTTTAAGAGGCAAGTTCTCACTTTATCACCCAGACTAGAGTGCAGTGGCTCAATCATATCTCAGTGTAGCCTTGAACCCGTAGGCTCAAGTGATTCTCCCACCTCGGCCTCCCAAATAGCTGAGACTACAGGAACACACTTCTACATCTGGCTAATTCTGGCTAATATTTTAAATTTTTTGTTTGTTTGTTTTAGATAGAATCATGCTCTGTCACCCAGGCTGGAAGAGTGCAGTGGTGTGATTTTGGCTCACTGCAACCTCCACCACCTGGCTTCAAGTGATTCTCCTGCCTCAGCCTCCCAAGTAGCTGGGACTACAGGTATGTACCACCACACCCGGCTAATTTTTGTATTTTTAGTAGAGACAAGGTTTCACCATATTAGCCAGGCTGTTCTCAAACCAGTCACCGTGCCCGGCCTAATTTTATTTTTTGTAGATAATGGTGTCTTGCTATGTTGCCCAGGCTGGTCTCCAACTCCTGGGCTCAGGCAGTCTTCCCAGTTCAGCATCCCAGAGTGCTGGGATTATAGGCATGAGCTACTGCACCTGACCTTGACTTATTTTTTTTTAAGTCTAGCTAAACCCAGTGAGGTTAGATTTTCTATGATCATTGTCCCTTCCTCTATCGTACAGATAGAGAAACTGAGACACAGAACAGTTTAGTGTCCTGCCTGCATCCTGTCGCAAACAGGCAGAGGCAGCATTTGAACCCAGGCAGCTCTTCCAGAGTCCGTGCATTGGCCACTACACTTGAATGCTTTATTTTGGAGATGGAGTCTCAGTCACTAAGGCTGGAGTGCAAGGGCCGGATCTCGGCTCACTGCAACCTCCGACCCCCAGGTTCAAGTGACTTTCCTGCCTCAGCCTCCTGAGTAGCTGGGATTACAGGCGCTTGCCACGACGCCTGGCTAATTTTTGAATTTTTAGTAGAGATGGGGTTTCACCTTGTTGGCCAGGTTGGTCTCAAACTCCTGACTCAAGAGATCAGCCCTACTCCACCTCGCCAAATGCTGAGATTACAGGCATAAACCACTGTGGCTGGCCTTGCTCGAATGTTTTCTAGAAACAGCTCCTTCCCCTTCCCAGCAGGAGCAGGGAGCCTGAGGGGGCTTGGCCCTTCCAGCCTGCACCTGTGTCAGACCCTGCAGGTGTCCCTGATTGGGGTGGAGGCGCCCCCTACCTCTGCTGCTCCAGGGGCTGGGGCCTCACTGGAGTGGGGCGTGGAGCTGCCTTCTCCTCTCCTCTGCTCCCTGCCCTGGCTGTCACGGAATGATCGGGATTCTCTGCCTAAGACCCCCTCATTAGGCCGTCAGAGCCGACGCCATACAGCTGCTTTCCCGCCCCAGGGACTATTTTGGGACACAGAGCTGTGATAACCAAACCAGAGGAGTGGGGGCCACGGCAGGCCGGTGAGGATCCCAGTCCTGGGGAGAGAGCGCCTTCCAGGAGCCCCTGCTGTTTGGCGGGACTCTTAGGGTTGCAGGGAGCTGGTGACAGCAGGAAGGGGGGTGTTAAAGTCATCATCATCCGCCCACCCCCGGGTCGTCCTGGCAGCGCAGAGACAGAGCAGTTTCCTACAGGAAGCGTCGCCGGGCGGTCCCATCCGCTACCCATTGTCTGCGGGTCCCGAGGCCGTGCGTCCCTCCCCAAAACACCATTTCCGTGTCACGCTCCCACACCCAGCCCAGCGCGAGGGGCTGGCCACGGTCCCCAAGACGTCCCGGGAAAGGGTCCCAGAACCGGTTGGGGCACTAAGGAGCAAACAAGCCCCCCAGTGGGCTCCTGAAGGGCGAGAGGGGGACGATCCCACGCATCCAGAGCCTCACACTCTGCTCGCTACCCACCTGGGGCTCCCAGTGTGGGAGGGGTCCCGACCAGAGGACAAGGCGCCCGCTCCGTCGCAGCCCGCAGAGCCCGCAGTGGGGCTGGAAACGCAGCGCAGCACTGGGTCCCGGTGCGTCCCCGAATCCACCTACTCAAGGATTCCCCATATGTGTCGCCGCAAGCTGGCGATTTACCTGAAGCCGCAGCCCCCGCCGAGCCCGCACCCGAGCCCGCCCCCTCGAAGTCCGGGGACTGATTATCAAGGCCTTGACTCTAACTGACGGCTACGACAGCCAACCAGCACCCGAGGCTCTCCAGAAAGCCCAATAGAAAAGTGAGGTGGGACAACCGGGCGGGGCCTGGGCTGTGGGCGTGGCTGTGGGCGTGGCCCGGAGTGACGGTCGCCGAGCGCGGGCTCGCGGCATTTCTGCACCAGCAGAGGTCAAGTCCCTGCCCAGCGCCAGGCCAAGGAGCTTGGATTTGATCCACAGGCCCGAGGGAGCCATGAGAGAACTGTAAGTAGAAGAGTAACCCTGTGGGATTTCTGTAACTGGTACTTATTTTGCAGTGCCTGGATGAAGTACCAGGACCCGGATCTTCCCTACCGCAGAACCTTTGTACATGCAGTTCCACCTACCAGAAATGCTTTTCCTTGCACCTGCACACGTGGCTACTTTTTGAGATTCCCTACTTTTTTTTTTTTTTTTTTTTTTTTTTTTTTTAGACGGAGTCCCAGGCTGGAGTGCAGTGGCTCGATTTTGGCTCACTGTAACCTGTCTCCGGTTCAAGCAATTCTCCTGCCTCAGCCTTCCGAGTAGCTGGGATTACAGGCACACACCACCATGCCCCACTAATTTTTGTATTTTTAGTAGAGACAGGATTTCACCATGTTGGCCTGAATGGTCTCAAACTCCTGACCTCAAGTAATCTGCTCCCCTCGGCCTCCCAAAGTGCTGGGATTACAGGCGTGAGCCACCTCGCCCCTACCTTCTGAGGTTCAAACTTTGTGTTGCTGCCCCCTAAATGCCTGACAGAGCCCCTCCCCAGTATTTTTCTCATCACTCTATTGAATTAGCCTAATAGCTACTTTACTATCTGAAAAACAAGAGCAGACTCTGTTATTGCCAGGTGCAGTGACTCACGCTTGTAATCCCAGTATTTAGGGAGGCATATATGGGAGGATCGCTTGAGCCAGGAGTTGAGACCAGCCTGAGCAACATAGCAAGACCTAGTTCTCAAAACAAAAACACACACACACACACACACACACACATACACTCATTTGTTTACTATTTCACTAAAGTAGCCGCACCAAGGCGGGGCATGGTGGCTCACGCCTGTAATCCCAGGACTTTGGAAGGCCGATTTAGATGGATCATCTGAAGTCAGGAGTTTGAGACCAGCCTCACCAAAATGGTGAAACACAGTATCTACTAAAAATACAAAAATTAGCTGGGCGTGGTGGCAGTTGCCTGTAATCCTTGCTACTCGGGAGGCTGAGGCATGAGAATCACTTGAACCTGGAAGGAGGAAGTTGCAGTGAGCCGAGATCGTGCCACTGCAATCCAGCCTGGGTGACAGAGTGAGACTTTCTCTCAAAAAAGAAAAAATTAGTCCTACATGGTGGTGCACGCCTGTAATCCCAGCTACTCGGGTAGCTGAGGCAGGAGAATCGCTTGAACCTGGAAGGCAGAGGTTACAGTTTTGTCAATGCATTTCAGCGTGGGTGACAGAGTGAGATTCCATCTCTAAATAAATAAATAAGTGTCAGCACCATGGGAGCAGGAAACTGGTTTTGGTCACTACTTTATCCAGTGATCCTAGCACACGGCAGATGCTTAATAAATGTTTGCCGACATATATATATATATATATATATATATATATGTATTTTGAGACAGGATCTCATTCTGTTGCCCGGCTAGAGTGCAGTGGCACAATATCTCAGCTCACTACAACCTCCACCTCCTGGGTTTAAGCGATTCTCCTGCCTCACTCTCCTAAGTAGCTGAGATTATAAACCTTACAAGTAGCTGGGATCGGCCGGGCGCGGTGGCTCAAGCCTGTAATCCCAGCACTTTGGGAGGCCGAGGCGGGTGGATCACGAGGTCAAGAGATCGAGACCATCCTGGTCAACATGGTGAAACCCCGTCTCTACTAAAAATACAAAAAATTAGCTGGGCATGTTGGCGCGTGCCTGTAATCCCAGCTACTCAGGAGGCTGAGGCAGGAGAATTGCTTGAACCCGGGAGGCGGAGGTTGCGGTGAGCCGAGATCGGGCCATTGCACTTCAGCCTGGGTAACAAGAGCGAAACTCCGTCTCAAAAAAAAAAAAAAAAAAAACAAGTAGCTGGGATTATCATGCCCAGCTAATTCTTTTACTTTTAGTACAGATGGAGTTTCACCACTTTGCCCAGGCTGGTCTTCAACTCCTTGGCTCAAGTGATCCACCTGCCTTGGCCTCACAAAGTGCTAGGATCACAGGCGTAAGCCACAGCACTTGGCCAGAATATAGTAATATTGTATATGTATTTTAATATCTAATACTCCGGTTTTTTGTCTGTTTGTTTTGTCTTGTTTTTCTGAGATGGAGTCTGGTCTGTAGGTCAGGCTGGAGTGCAGTGGCACGATCTTGGCTCACTGCAACTTTCACCTCCCAGGTTCAAGCGATTCTCCTACCCTCAGTCTCCAGAGCAGCTGAAACTACCGGGATGTACCACCATGCCTGGCTTTTTTTGTTTTTTTAATATATTTTAAGTAGAAACAGGGTTTCACCATGTTGACCAGGATGGTCTCAATATCCTGACCTTGTGATCCACCTGCCTTGGCCTCCCAAAGCGCTGGGCTTACAGGCATGAGCCATGGAGCCCAACCCTGATACTCCTTTTTAAAAAAAAAAAAAAAAAAAAAATATTCCTGGGTTATTTTAATTGGTTGATTCTTTCCGTTAAAACTGGAATTCTGTCAAGTTTCCCCATGAAAATTTCACTGAAATTTTTCTTGATTCTTTGAGACAGAGTTTTACTCCATTGCCCAGGCTGGAGTACAGTGTCAAGACTGTGGCTGACTGCAGCCTTGAACTCCCAGGCTCAAGCAATCCTCCCACCTCAGCCTCCCAAGTAGCTGGGACTACAAACATGTGCTATCACGTCCAGCTAGTTTTTTATTTTTTGTTGAGACAGGGTCTGTGTTGCCTTGGCTGGTTGCAAACTCCTGGACTCAAGTGATTCTTCTGCCTCAACCTCCCTAAGTACTAGGATAACAGGCATGACTTCCATTGGAATATTTAAAATATTTTTACTGTAAAATATTTAAAACATTTTTACTATAAAATAAAGTGTCCATAGATGCACACACACAGCCAGATTCAAGAAACCACATAAAACAAATGTATACTCTTTCCCTAAGCAGCCTGAGGTAGTCTGTGAAAATGGTTCACTATTCACTTGACCGGAGAACCCCACAAAATCATGCAAATCAAGAGGTTCAAATCTTTGTGTTCACTTTGAGAACACTGTGAAACTGCCCAGGCCATCAAAAGTATACATATATGAAAAGCCATGAAGTATCTGAAAGATGTCACTTTACAGAAATAGTGCATACCATTCCAACGTTACAATGGTCAAGTTGGTGGGTGTCCCCAGGCCAAGCAGTGGGTCTGGACACAAGGTTAGTGGCCCAGAAAAAATGCTGAATTTTTGCTGCACATGCTTTAAAATGCAGTGGCCGGGCAAAGCGGCTCATGCCTGTAATCCCAGAACTTTGGGAAGCCAAGGCAGCAGATCAACTGAGGTCAGGAGTTTGAAACCAGCCTAGCTAACATGGCAAAACTCCATCTCTACTAAAAATACAAATTAGCTGGATGTGGTGGCAGGCACCTGTAATCCCAACTATTCAGGAGGGTAAGGCAGGAAAATTGCTTTAACCTGGGAGGTGGAGGTTGCAGTGAGCCGAGATCGTGCCATTGCACTCCAGCCTGGGCAACAAAGTGAGACGCCATCTAAAAAACAATGCAGAGAGTAATGCTGAACTTAAGGGTTTAGATGTAGATTCTCTGGTCCTGGAGCACATCCAAGTGAACAAAGCACCTAAGATGCACCGCTGGACTTACAGAGCTCATGGTCAGATTAACCCATGCATGAGTTCTCCCTGCCACACTGAGATAATCCTTACTGAAAAGGAACAGATTGTTCCTAAACCAGAAGAGGAGGTTGCAGAACAAAAAGACATCCCAGAGAAACTGAAGAATCAAAAACTTACGGCACAGGACTAAATTCAGTGTTAAAATAAATGCAATTAATCCCAGCTACTCAGGAGGCTGAGGCAGGAGAATTGCCTGAACCCAGGAGGCGGAGGTTGCGGTGAGCCGAGATCGCGCCATTGCACTCCAGCCTGGGCAACAAGAGAGAAACTCCGCCTCAAAAATAAATAAATACATATAAATAAATTCAATTAAAAGTAAACGCACACACACACACACACACACACACAGCCAGGTGCGATGGCTCACGCGTGTAATCCCAGCACTTTGGGAGGCTGAGGCAGGCAGATTATGAGGTCAGGAGATTAAGACCGTCCTGGTCAACATGGTGAAACTCCGTCTCTACTAAAAATACAGAAATTAGCCAGGCATGGTGGCGGCAGCCTATATTCCAAGGTGCTCGGGAGGCTGAGGCAGGAAAATTGCTTGATTTGGGGAGGTGGAGGTTGCAGTGAGCCGAGATCGCACCTCTGTACTCCAGTCTGGATGACAAAGCGAGACTCTGTCTCAAACAAAAACAAAAACGAAAGATAAATTCAATTAAAAGTCAACACACACACACACACACACACACACACACACACAACACCAACACCAACAAAAAAAAACCCCACAAATGTATAGCTTCAAGAGTTACTCTAATGGTGAGTTCTCAACTAGGAGTGATTTTACTCCACGGGAGAATGGCAGTATCTAGGGACATTTTTGGGTGATAGGGAGGAGGATGTTTTTTGGCATCTAAAGAGTGGAGGTCAGGAATGTAGCCAAACACCCTGCAATGCGCAGGCCAGCCCCAAGGACCAAGAATTATGTGGCCTAAATGTCAAGAGCAGGCGTCCCCAAACTGCAGCCCCCTGAGGCCATTTATCCGGCCCCCCACCGCACTTCAGGAAGGGGCACCTCTTTCATTGGTGGTCAGTGAGAGGAGCACAGTATGTGGCAGCCCTCCAACGGTCTGAGGGACAGTGAACTGGCCC